ACTACAGAGAGAAATAGCCATACCGAACATGCACACACCATTCATACCCTCCCTTTTAGYCGCCTCTTACGACAAGCAGGGAATACTGTGGGAGTATTCTACTACCCCCTACCCACGGGGGGGACCCTGACGCATCCCTAAAGCAACCCTTACGTTCCAACCCTTGTTTTTTTTTTCTTTTTTCGTCAGGGGGAAAACCTCCAAAAGGCCCCTTGGGCCCGGTTCCCCAGGGAGTGTCGGATTTTTACCGACTAATAACCCACCTGGTGCAAACATTCATTCACTGGATGGGAGAAGCAGATCTGTGGTAGAAACACAATACATACACACTTACTCTCCCATCCCGATGAGCCTGGCCGGTTCGCCATGCTCTCATCCTCATTCATACATATCACTTATACCTTAATAAATAACTAATCAACTAATAAACTACTATGTAACCAATTAATAACTACTACTTATTCTACATATATATTTATGTACATACCCGACCATCCATCCCAAGATGCACTGGTCGGGTTCACACAACCCATGCATCAGCATGCTCATTCTTCTTTAAGGGGAAGCGACGCACTAGACCAGGCCAGGCGCCGCCAAAGCTTCCCGAAACCTTACACGGGGGGGCCGCCTAGGAGCTATTCTCCTTTGCGGCCTCGCAATCATTCTTCACCTATTTAGAAATGCACGTTCTCTCTCCCTTTTAGCATCTTCCTTGGCCTTCATTACAAGTCCCGAAAAGGACTGGAATGCAGCCTACGCCCTCGGGGTATCCAGGGACTGCCTGACTATCCCGGTGAGGGTGGGCTGCACCCCCACCCACACTCCCTGACCAAAGAATCCCTAGCATTCGTCCACGCCGGGCATTCAATCAGGGTGTGTTCCGTGTCATCTCTATCCGCGCCGCAGTGAAAGCACCGCGGGGAGTCCGTCCTCCTGATACCATGTAGGTACGCAGGAAAGCAGCTATGGCCAGTCATCAGCTGAGTGGCGTAGAAGGTCGTACTTATAGAGTACAGCCTCCTAACCCACTCATCCAAACTGTCAGCAATAGCTGCTCTAACCCGCGCGTCCGTTCCCCCGTTACCCCATTTAGTCCCAATTTTTCTTCCCTCAATGCAGCAATCGCCCCCATCCTGGCGAAAGCACCCAGCACCACCCTAATATTTGGAGGGACAGGTCCCTCCGCATTCTTAAGGGTAACATACAACTCCGCCAGTCGCGGCGCCACATGATCGAGGGGAATAATCCCCGCGACCATCATTGCCGCATGGAAGGAAACCGTCCTATATGCGCAACACACCCTGATTGCCACCCTTCTTTGCAAGGCCCGAACAGCCCGCCTGATCCTCTGATCCTCTACAACAGCGCGCCACCACACTGGAGCACTATAGAGGAGCATGGAGTGGATCACGCTGTTGTAGAGACGCCGCTTCTTCTCCGTTGGCCAATGGAGGTTCGGAAGGATCCTCCCAATAGACCGAAGGATCCCTTCCACTCTCGGGATTAAGGCCTGGAAGTGAACCCTAATGAAATATTTGAATCTAAAACTATGCCCAGGTATTTCACACTGGGCTTCACTGCAATACAAACCCCCATGTATCTAATCACAGGGGGGGAAGCAATCCTGCGTCTGCATAAGGCAGAAGCAGGGAAGGCCATTGCCTCCGTTTTCTGTAGCGCTACTTTCAGGCCCAATCCCTCAAATTCATTCACAATTAAATCTAGGTCTCGTTCAGCCGCTAACAATGCGCAAGACAGATCCCGTCCCGCTGAAAGAAGGGCCGTGTCATCTGCATAGCATACCACACTAGACCCTCCCGGCAGCGGGACTCGGAGGACCCGATCGTACGCAATGTTCCAAAGTGTGGGGCCAAGGTCGGAACCCTGTAGGACCCCACACATCACGCTTACATTATTAATTATGCCCTGCCTTCCTATAAAGGACAAGAGCCGGTCACGGAAATAATCTTTTATAATATTAATCAAATAGGTGGGGAAGCCACTTCTCTCCATCGATGCTATCACTATATCCCAGGGGAGCGAGTTAAATGCGTTACTAATATCCAATGAGATTAAAACGCCCACTCGTCCACTACTTGCGCACTCCTGTATGTAATTTTTTACTTCTCCGATTGCTCCAAGGGTAGAGTAACCCACCCTGAAACCATGCTGACACGTCGAAAGAACACTTTGAGTATTTAAAAACTCGCTCACCTTGGAGAAAACAACTCTTTCAAATAGCTTCCCTACCTCGTTCAGTAGGCATATTGGCCTGTATAAGCTAGGCAAGTTACCATCACCAATTTTTTTTTTCTTCAGAAACACGAGCTTGGTCCTCTTCCATGCCCGTGGGAAGACTTCCCTCCTCAGCAGCATAATGAAGCTTTCCGCAAGGCCTCGACCACAGTGTATGGCCGCCCTCTTCACCACCAGTCCAGGGATCCCGTCAGGACCCGGTGCCCTCCCAAGGTTAATCCTTTTAGCGGCCCTATGAACCTCTTCAACCGTGACTACTATTTCCTCCGGGTCCATCACGTTGACGTTTGGGGAAACTGATCGGCTGCCTCCCGGACACAGCGTTTTAACTATCCTCGTCAAAAGAGGAGGATCCAGTACCTAAGTAAGAGGGGGAACACCTCGAGCCCTCAATTTCCCCATTACAAGTTTATAGGGTCTCCCCTATGGATCATCCTCTATGGTGGCTAAAAAGTCCTTCCAGGCCAAGGCCTTTGCCCTTGTGATGGCCTGGACCAGATTCCTTCTCTTCTCCCTTCTGTCCTTTAGACATGCTTTAATTCTGTCCAGATCACCTCCTCGCCTGGCCCTTAGATAACACCTTCTCGCCGCCGTAGCCGCTCCCCGTAGGACCACTATTTCCCGTAACCACCATGGTACAGCTGGACACCTGTCCACCACCGTTCTCACCCTCGACATAGAAATGTCACATGAAGTGAGGAGGGYATTGTCCGCCCATTTCACCATGTCCCACATATTATTACCATCATCCCGTGTCCACTCACCAAAGACGAGGGCTGCAGCGAGCTTGTCCTCATTTACAGTCCTCGTATCCCACTTAGGGAAAATTTTGTCCCTGGAGCGAAGGCTTCGGAAGCCTGTAGCCTCATGCCAATACTTAAATGTGATATATAAATGGTCCGAAAGGGACTCAGCCTCATCCACCTTTCAATCCGATAAGCGGACACTAGCTGCCGGAGATCCCTACGTAAGGTCTACAACGCTCGACCCTTGCGGTTGAACGCACGTGGGGTGGCCAGCCTGGTTACTCAGGCTTAGGTTCAACCTATTGGCCCACATACAGAGTAACTCGCCCCTTGGATTGCTTCTGCCTTCCGGATCCCATTTGGGGAACCGGACATTAAAGTCCCTGGCAATTAGCACTGGAAGAGCGGGAAATATGCATAAGAGCTCTTCGAGCTCATCAAGGAGTCTACCAAAAATATTTAAATTCTCGCTGAGGGGAAAGTAGACTAAAACTACCCACGAGTCCCCCTATTTGACAGCTACAAAAAACAAACCCCGACGCATCAGGCTACAGGTTCTTTCGCCTTTGCCCGCAATAATCGCAGAGAGAGGAAACCCCCCCAGGGATAAGAGCCATTTCTCATCCCCGGGAGGGACCTACCACGGCTCCGAGTCTATCGCAATATCCGCCCTAATCTCCCTCATCCGCTGGCCCAGCAAGTCCTGGACGCGACGCGCGTGGTTTAGATTGGCCTGAATGACCGTGGCAATTGTAGTTTCTTATTTAGTTACTCACATGAAGGGGCAGAATTCAACTGCTCAACCTCAATGTCATTGCCGACACTCAAATCCACACTATTTACAAAACTTTGTACTATTGTTTTTTCGCCTGCACTACCCGGAACGTTCTTTACGTACCCTGACGTGTCCCTTCGGTCCGCAACTCCCCCCAAAATAACGTCTCTCCCCTTAATAGGAGGCACTAACGGACACTTTCAGGACCCAGCCCTGTGCGAGTTTCGGGAACGCCCCGCCTTCACACAGATCGGGCATTTTAGTTTGTCCCCACAATCTTTCTCCACTTGCCCCGGTTCCCCGCATTTAAAACATACACCAATCCTGGCACCCGGTGCAGGACAAGATGCAGCCACATGGCCTCTCGCCAAACACCCGTGACACCTTAGAGGCCTAGGTCTAATTGGGAATACCCGGACTTTATTCCACCCCACAATTATACTACCCTTGTGAATAGCTGCCTGACACAATGTCGTTGGGGCCACAACTGTGACCTCATATCTACCACCCCTGCCCAGATGGATACTAACCATATTAATTAGGTTGGGGTCATAACCCGCCCTGACCTCCTGTAACCCACACCTATTCGCCGTCAAGGTGGTAGTTGGGTAAATACCCAATTACCTTATGGGACTAGTCCTTTGAGGCCTTCCAATTTTGGCCTCCGGTAGAGCTCCCTTCATGACCTGAGCCAATTTGTCAGCCTTCATGTTAGCATCCTTTCCTCGGACCTGCCAGACGAATGACCCTATCAGGCCACGCCTATATAAGAGCCCCTTTGCCCCTATTTCCACTAGATTCACCCCCGTTTCCAATTTCTTAAGGGCTTCTAAATTTGAAGCCCTTTCCGCGCACGTAATAGATACAGCTGCAGTCTCCCTGATTCTTCTGTTTTTCTTCGTCTTCTTCTTTTTCTTCTTTTTTCGTTCACCCACAGCAGGGGTTCCCCCCCCCACACTAGGACAAAAAGGAGGGTCAACCCTCCTAACATCCGCCCGTGTAGATAAGGGCCCCCCAGCAGGCGCAGCAATTTTATTTCGTTTTTTAACCTCAATAAACCCATCCCCGTTCAGGACAGTTGCCAGAGGCGTTGGCATCGACGGTGAGGGAGCAACCTGCGGCCGGGCTGCAACCTGAGGATAAGAGCTCTGTCCCATTTTTATATCATTTAATTCTTGTTGAATTTTAATCACCAATTTGGAAAGCTCATTCAGAACTCTCCCTATCATCTTGTCGTCATGTACATCCTCCTTCCTGGCAGCAACCAGTCTCTCCTCTGCAGAAGATYGGATCTGATTTGTTGCTGCAGTTGCTACCCTAGTATCCCCTTTCGACACTTTTTCAAGGAGTATATCTTTACGCCTTAGCTCCCGCCTAAGGCGCGTACACTCCTCGACCACCTTCTTTAGCCGGTTATTCGTGGCTTTCGCTTCCGCCCTTAACTGCTCCATAGATTCATAAATTTCAGAGCCACAGTTTACCCTGTTGCGGGGCTGCAGCTCCTTGGCCAACTTCATTATTTCCATATTGCAAGTTTTTATTTTTCCCGATATTTCACCCTTGATGTTGCTGCAATTCTTCCTTTTGACTTCTGCCTCTGCCACATTGTATAATATAAGATCAAATAGTCTTCCAGTCTACATACTGAAAATCGATGGTCCCTCTGGAATAACTCCATTTATCCTTGTTAGGTCAACTACCTTATCCTCCGATGATGAGGTGTACAGAATCGGCCTCGCCCTTTTATSGGTCCTGACTTGTATATCATCAGTCTCCCAGTTCTCAATGCACCTTATCGTGCACCTCAACACCTCGTCCTAGGAGCGTTCTCGACTTCCTGTAGCATTAGTCGATCCACGGGCCAGGTTGCCTACCCGCGAACAACTTCCTGACACATTATCCAGAGCAAGGGCCGGGTCGCCTACCCTAGACTCATGACAGTAGTATGATGTCGACGATGGGTGGCATGTCCTACCACTACCAAACACCGCCGTCGTGTGAGTTTCCCTCCCACACGACTTATTCTCTGAGGTTGTACCTTTCATATTTGTTATTTGATATAAATAGGCACAAGCCCAGAGGAAAAGAAAGGAAAACGAAGAAAGTAAAAGACAAGAAAAGAGTAGAAAAAAAAGATAGAAAAAATTACAGAGAGAAATAGCCATACAGAACATGCACACACCATTCATACCCACCCTTTTAGTCGCCTCTTACGACAAGCAGGGAATACTGTGGGAGTATTCTACTACCCCCTACCCGCAGGGGGGGAATGTTCCAGCCCTAAAGCAACCCCGACGTTCCAACCCTAACGCATCCCTAATGCAACCTCGACGTTCCAACCCTGACGCGTCCTTAAAGCAACCTCGACGCTCCCACCCTAAAGAAACCCTGATGTTCAAATCCTGACGCATACTCAAGACAACCCCGACGTTCTAACCGTGACGCATCCGAAAAGCAACTGCGACGTTTTAGCACTGACGCATCCCCAAAGCAACCCCGACGTTCCACGTCTGACGCATTCCTAAAGCAGCCCCGACGTTCCAACCCTAACACATACCTAAATCAACCCTGACGTTTTAACCCTGACGCATCCCAAAATCAACCCCGACGTTCCAACGCTGACGCATCTCTAAAGCAAGCCAGACGTTCCAACCCTGACGCATCCCCAAAGCAACCCCGACATTCCAACCTTAATGCATCCCCAAAGAATCCCCGACATACAAACCAAAACGCATCCCCAAAACAACCCTGACGTTCCAACCCTGACGCATCCCTAAAGCAACCCACAAGTTCCCACCCTGACGCAACACTGACGCAACCCTGACGCAACCCTGACGCATCCCAAAATCAACCCCGACGTTCCAACGCTGACGCATCTCTAAAGCAAGCCAGACGTTCCCACCCTGACGCATCCCCAAAGCAACCCCGACGTTCCAACCTTAATGCATCCCCAAAGAATCCCCGACATACAAACCTAAACGCATCCCCAAAGCAACCCTGACGTTCCAACCCTGACGCATCCCTAAAGCAACCCACAAGTTCCCACCCTGACGCATCCCTAAAGCTACCTTGACGTTCCAACCCTGACGCATCCCTAAAACAACCCCGAAGTTACAACTATGACGCATTCCTAAAGCAACCCCGACGTTTAAACCCAGACGTTTCCCTAAATAAACCCATACGTTTCAACTCTAAAGCAACTTCGTAATTCCAACCCTGACGCATCCCCAAAGCAACCCCGACGTTCTAACCCTAATGCATTTCTAAAGCAACCCTGACGTTCCAACCCTGACGCATCCCTAAAGCGACTCTGACGTTCCAACCCTGACGCATCCCTAAAACAACCCGGACCTTCCAACTTTAGCGTATCCCTAAAGAAACCCCGACGATCTAACCCTAAAGCTACCTTTACATGCTAACCCTGACGCACCCCTAAAGCAACTCAGACGTATCTACCCAAACTCATCCCTAAAGTCACCCTGACGTTTAAACCCTTAGGCATCCTTGAAGTTTTAACCATGACGCATCTCTAAAGCAATCTTAAACTTCCAACCCTGACGCACCCCTAAAGCAACCCTGACGTTCCAACCTTGACGCATCCCTAAAGCAACCCCGACGTTCGTACCCTTAAGCAACCTCGACGTTGCTAATCTGACGCATCCCTAAAGCAACCCCGACGTTCCAACCATGACGCATACCCAAAGCAACCCTGACGTTCCGACCCTAAAGAAACCACGACGTTTCAACCCTAACGC